GTAAATTTCTGAGAATACTTTTACAAATCTTGGATAGTAACAACTCCTTTTCATGCGTCGAGTAATGACGTTCAGCTTGGTTCAACTTTCGGTTCTCATATGCTACCAGATGTTATTCTTGCATAAGGACTCCACTAAGTGAAAAATCTAAAGTATCGGTATGAACTTCGAATGGTTTAGTTATATCCAGTAAGGCTAATACCGAGTTCATCCACATAGACTTCAACTTTTCACAAGCAACTTGACATTGGGATGACCAATCCCAATCCTTATCTTTCATTGTCAATTTGATAAGTGGCAGTGCAATTTCTGAGTACCCTTTAAAAAATCTTTGATAGTAATTGCATAACCCGAGAAATGAACGTACATCGTGGCCATTCTTGGGTAGTTTCCAATCTTTGATGGCTATAACCTTTTTCGAATTCATGCGTATTTTACCTTTTTCGATGATATGACCTATGAAACTGATAGATGTTTGAGCGAATGAACATTTAGACGGTAATATAGAGTTCATTCTCTCATAGCCGATTGAAAACCTGCCTCACATAGTCACATGTTGCACATATTACACATGTTCTTCCAATGTCTTGCTATAGATACTATCTGTCCAAGTACATCACCACAAAATCATCTAAGAACCTTTGAAGTACCTGATTCAGCATCATACAAAACGTTGCAGGAGCATTTGTTAAGCCAAAATTTAAATTCAAAAGCTCCATATCTTGTTATCACCGTAGTATTTTCTTAATCTTCTTCCTCAATCCGAACTTGCTAGTATCCGGACCTAAGACCAATCTTTGTATAATATCTCACTCGGCTCAGTCGGTTGAAGCAATCCATGACTAGCGGAACAAGATATCTATTCCTCATAGTGATCTTGTTCAAGACTCGATAATCCAAACACATTCTAAGAGAACCATCGGCCTTTTTCTGAAACAATCTAGGAGTTCTGTATGGTGATCTCGTAGGCACAATAATCCTACTTTCCAACATTTCTCCCAATTGTTTCCGAAGCTCTTCAAGCTCATGTTGAGACATACGGTAGGATGTCCAGGTGGGAGGTTTGACACATGGAATAAGTTCAATCTCACGATCAATCGCCTTCCTTAGTAGCAATTCCTTTGGTAACTCATCTGGCATGATGTCCTCAAATTCCTGAATAAGCCTTTTGATAGGTTTTGGAATATGACCAGCTGCCTCTTCGATCTTCTCTAATCAAAAAGTGCACAAAAATGATGGTTCATTTCTTTTGAAACCTTTACCAAATTACATGGCCATGATACTCTTCTTACCCATCTTCCCAGCTTGTATAGTGATGACGCATGATTTACTAACCATCATCATTAACGAATCAAAATATGACAACATTGCTATCTTAGTACCCTGAAGAAATTCCAATCCCAGAATAAGCTTGAAGTAATCCATCTGAATTGTAGATAAATTTGTCATTCCCTTGAAAGGACTCGCTTTGAGTAAGACAGATTTCGTTACTGCGGCTGTTGGTTGAGCATTGGAGTTGATTGCTTTGACCTTCCCACAACTATTTTCCAGATCAAGTTTTGAGTCGCTCTACTTTGGTACTTGCGAGGTAGTTGTGGTTAACACCAGTATTTGCCATAGCCCTGATTGACTTTCCATTGATGTTCACATCAATGTACATTAGGCCTTTGGCCCTACAAATACGAGCATTCGATTCTTCCATTTTTACCTCTTTCGAGGGAATATCATCATTTTCAATAGCCCAGTGTGATACTGTATTGCACCGATGTGAGATCGCGCCGACTACATCCTCATCCTCTTCGGAGTAGGTCTCAGCATGACAGCTAGTTTGTCAGACATTTTGCTTTAAACTCATTCTGCCACTCGTTAGTTGACAATATGCATTTACCTTCCGTTTTTTAGGACACTCTGACACCCGATGAGGTCATTCAGATAAAAAGCACACCAATTTAGGAGTGTGATTAGATTTCCCCTCAATTGTTTTTCTTTTATTCCACATGTTACTACTGCTACCGTTATAATTTCATTGGCGATTGTTTTACTAATTTTCCTGAAAGTTACTCTGATGGGTGCCTTGATAGGCTCCTTCCTTATTATGAAAGTAACGTTCTCCCCTATTTGAGTTCGAGCTGGATCTGTAAGGTATGATTCTACCTCTAATAGCTTGACTATTCCTTGAATGTTGATCTTTTCTTGATTCCGATTGATAGTCATTTAAAATTCGACGACTTCCATGGCCGCGCTCAAATAGTAACCTTTTGTCTCTAAAGTTCCGTGCGTTTCCAGAGTTTCAACCCTTTCATGAACATAAAGAACTTATCCTTTTTCGAAATATCTCGAATATTCAGCATATGTCCTGAAAGGGCTTTCACGTACTCCCGGATGGAGCTTTTATGTTTCAGTTCTTGTAGTACCCGTCGTGCCTGATATTCCACATTTTCTGAAAAAAAATTGCTATCTGATCGCTTCTTTGAGGAGATCCCAAGAATCTATTTGGACGTTGTTGGCCTGAATATCAACATATTTGTCTACCACCATAGTGTTGCATCTCCACCAAGATAAATAGTAGCTCTTGTAACCTTTCTTGCTTCATCTTCGATTGAAGCCATGAGAAAGTATTGTTCCATATCAAACAAGAAGTTCTCGACTTCTTTTACATCGCGTGCCCCTTCATAGGTACACAATTCCAGAATTCCGAGCCTGGAAACATACTCTTGTACAGGGGCTTGCCCATTGCCTATCGTACGTTGAAGTACTCGTAATTGAGCTTTCAACGCTTCCATTTCATCCTGCAGATCAAACATGATTGCATCAGTTTCAGTCATTGCTGTGCAACCCCTTCTACTTTCATCCATTTTGATGTATCACGAATTTTCATCGCTTCCACCTCGACTTTTTCCTCGACGCCCTCCACGGCATAGCACAACCTAGTAGTTGTCTCATCAAGTGCATTCAAGCGTTGTTTCGTAATCATCTTTTAAGGGTCTACAACTTCTGTGGTGTTTGATGTAATTGGATCCGTAGATTTCTTATCGAGGGTCGTAAGCCGCGACTCTGATACCAACTTTCATGGGGTGCCTTTCTTTTGGCACAGAAAGAGACATCGTATAGCAGTAATCTACTCCGTTAGACTACCTTCGGCCTTCTCTCAGTAGTTTCGAGACAAAAAAAATTCATTGCAATTGTAGAAAGCTTGCAACAGAGAATTTAGATTTATTGAAAGTAAATTGATCATTGATTGATAAAAATTACAATTGATAAAAGTAGAAAATTACAATTGTTGGTGTAGGGGGCGAACACCAGTAAGTTTGAAAATTTTTTGAATGACTAATACCCCTATAATAGCTTTCAGAACAAAATCCTAAGGGATATAAATAGACGTTTAAATGACGAGAAATCGTACTAAACGTTTACAAATATTAGAGTTATTTTACAAATGAAATAAATTATTACAACAGAAAGGAAATTACAACTCAAATTGAACTAATATTTACAGTGTGAGATCCAAGTTGGGCAAACTGTAGCTGCGATTAGGTCAAGGGCTAAAAAAAGTTGCGGTCCTTGACATTGGTCTTTCATGAGCATATGCTCACATCGGTGTTTTTATTTTTTTAATGATATGTCAGTTTAATGGGAGTTTGTGTTTGGATGTTATCTGTTTTAGACACATATTTTTATTCATGGATATTCGGTTTATTTCAAAAATAATTCAATTTAGTTTCACTTTGATTAAAGATTATGGTTAATCTCATTAAAAAAATAAGGTATGAGCAATTGGAAATTGACATATTTGGATCACATTACATGTAATTTTCATGCTATATATCTACACTTGATCTATGTTATTTGAATGTGTTGATATACGTAACCATTAAGGGTTTAGTTATGATACTTATAACGAAAACTGTTTTGATCCTATATTGACATAATTGATGAACATGATTGTTCGAAAATGCTTTTGGTTATGATAGTAAAAGTATTGAACTCTTATGATTATACACATTTATAAGATAGCATATGTAGCTTAAGTGGGACATTATTGAGAAAATATTTAATTCATCGTGTGGACCGACATATGTGATTAATTTTGTATAAAAGCTATCTAAAAGTTAAGCCCAAGGAACTTGAAGAACATATGAGAAATTTGATTTGATCTTTGATTTCGATACAAGTTAATTGATTTTATATTTAAGATATCTTTTCCAACATGAAAACCATCCCTTTATATAGTACATCAACCATCAGGCACGAAATGGAACCAAATCAAGCCAAAAAGGCGTGAAGCTTGCCAAAATAATACCATAATCTAGAAGTCTGAGTTTAAAATGAAGGATATAGAGAAGAGAGTACTTTATTCTTAAACCAATCTTCTTATATCAATGAAGTTTCAAGTAAATTTTCAATGGATAGTGCTAACCCTATATCACTACCTCTGGGAAGTTACTTTCAGCTTTCGGCTAATCAATCACCTAACTTTGAAGACCTAAAAAGAATGGATACTATTTCTATGCCAATGCAGTTTGGTCAATAACGTCCATTATAGTTTGCTTAGACCTTACCTGAAATGAGTATGCTGAATGCACACGTCAAATCCAAGTGAAATACGTACACTGGATTCCCAAGTAATGGCTAATGTGTTTTAGTGGTTTAGTAGACTTAAGGTTTAAAGTTTAAAAGGAGTTCCAAACTTATAGAACTGAAGGGTTCTACGTATTTTAGTTTTTAGGTAATTTAGACAAAATAAGATCTACATATTTTCATATTTCTAGTTTGTGTAATACATGTGTAAGTGGAAAATATAGTTCCGGAAGCATTCACTTTACATTTGAAATATAGTCTATTCAGAAAAAAAGTTAGTTCGTAATGTTCTTTCATGTGAACCAAATTCTTTCTGACAACATAAAATGTCACTTAACTAGGACGACACAAAAAAAATATGTATCGAGTCATATACGAAAGCTAAACTTTCACAAAAAGAGAGAGAAAAATCTGATCCAATGTCATTGCATTTTGATCCAGACACAATGGCCAGGCACTCCATGGTGAACCACAAACAGCATATAATAACCCGGGGGTGCAATATTCCGTGTTGGTGGTGCATGCACAGTCACCTTGTAAGCAAATTCGGAGAGCCGTTGTACTCCTACAATGTACAACTCCAGCAGCCTTTGGTTCATGCCAAAAGAGTGTGTAGCGAAAGACGGTGCAACAATTGTTACCATGAACTCTGGATCAGCCTGATACAACCCCAAAGTAAAAGTCACGGAGAATTCCTCACCGTAGGATATTACATTATGTGCGGGAGCCTCAATCGATAGAATTGATGGGCGGATGAGACCGAATTCTTGGCCGAGATAAGGCGGGGAGAAAGCTTCTAAACTCAAGTCTGTAGGGTACTTCACGCCCGAGAAGTTGTATTGTACGTGCGGGTTACTTCCACCCACTAGTATTCTTCCATCTGGAAGTAGAGTAGCAGTTGAGTGGTACAGTCTAGGAATTGTGGTGGGGTTGAGCATACTGAATCTTTTACTCGGGTCAGGTTCGGTTGGGATGTAGAGAATCGGGTTCAAAACTGGGTCAACCGCACATTCCCACCCGGCTGTGCCCTTTCCAGCACCATTCAGAATAATGACATCACCCGTGGGTAAAAGCACCGAATCGGGCATGACCCTGCGCATGGGCATATCTTCCATAACCCACTGAGGATCCGAATCCGTGACCCGCAAACGCCCACATGATTTTGAAGCTGCCACGTATATTCCCTTCAATGCCTTAACATAAGCGCCACCCTTTGCACCACCGCAAACCAACACCTCCACCTCAGGCAACGGCGTCGGAGACCCATCTGCGCCGCTGGCGTTTAAACGTATTGGTAACATTACCGACGACCCCGTCGCCGGATAGCTCCTTTTCTCGCCGGTTATCATCGGAAACTCCTTAACAATCTTGTTATTCACGTAATCTAAAATTACAGAGCGTTGATTTGCGAAAACGAATAGATTTCCGTCCGGTAAAAGATACAAGAATGGATAAAGATTGTTCTCTTCTTTAGGATCAGTAGTTTCTTTCAAGAAATTGAAGTAAAAAACGCTACTGTTTTGGCTGTTTTTGATTGAATCTTTGGGGAAAAATTCATAGCTAAATGCCTTTCTGCCTCCAACAATGACCACATTTCCATCGGGTAATATATGATCAGAAGCATACCATCTTTGAATTGTTAAATTCTCTTCCAGTTCAATCCAGTCGCTTTGATCATCATTCCATGGAGAGAAAAACCGTATTTTATGGTCGCCGGCTAGGTACCCGCCGGTCTGGACTAGGGTTCCATCGGGTATGACAGCGCCGGAGGAGCACCAGACGTCGGTCTGCACCATGAGTGGACGGTAGGTGTTGGAAGCGATGTCGTAGAGAAGGGAGTGTGCAGTGCAGTCCTCTTTGATGGACTCATCGTTGTATCGGCATTTTCCGGCAGGAAGAGTGAGATTGGAGGGCCCGAAATCAGTCCGGTCGAAGATCACCACCTTGTTATTGTACAGAAGTTGCATGTGCATGGCGGAAACACCGACGCTCTCTTGCAAAAGCTCCCATTGGCCACCGCCAGCCGTGGCGGTGGTGGAATTATACGTCGGCGGTTTAACATTGATCAAGGGAAAAGAAGAGGCCGCAAAGGAGAAGGTGGAATGCAAGAACGCAAGTAAAATTGGGGGTTGAGATCTTGATGGAGAAGCTGCAGAGGTTACAGCACTAGGTGATAAAGAGTCATCTGGCCCGTCATGGTGGCGGCGCTGACGGTGGCGACGGTGGAGGAGAGACTGTGACGGATAAGTGAAGAGTGAGAAAATGAGAATGAGAGAGAATAGGAAAGATAGAATCTTGGTTGCCATTGAAGAGAGGGTCTCTTGGATTTTCTTGAATAAGAGTGTTAAATTTTCCGGATTTAAGCCCCTGTTTGGACCATATTATTTTTTTCATTAACATAATTTTTTTCATTCTCATTCTTTTACTCATTTTTAACCACGCATTCTTCAATAAAATAATATTTTTCATCACATTAATAACTTTTCCTTCTTTTTCAACAACACATTCTCCATCACAGCACTTCAAAAAAATGCATTCTCTCATTTTAATGTGTACCAAACGGGCTCTAAATGTGGTAGGAGAGGCTCAGAAAATTTAAAAAACCAGTAATTATAAGAAATTCGGGCTCACTAAAAACAATTTAGAGAAAGGGATGATTGTTTTATTTTAATCTGATTTTATGTTACTTGGTAATTACCCTATTTGTATACTCGATGATACCTCTAGTGTTTTCACCTTTTATCACTTATTCATTTGGTAACAAAACATAACTTAACAAGTTTCAACATTCTGGTTTTGGTGAAAGAAGTTTCGATTTCCCTCTCGAGTCTCGACTCATGCGGTGGGCTCAACAAGCATGATTTTCTTTTGCAAAGTCCATGTTTTCCTCCTATTTTAGCATATGCTCCTTCAGGTGTAGCTTCGCGCGCTTGCTTTTCTTAAGCGGGATAATTTGACCTCTTCTCATCAGTATCTTGATCCATACAACTTTTTCAAGATTTTGACATTTCATGATTATCGAAATCAATCTTCATTCTATGTCCCCAACATTAGTCCCTTGATTGAATGAATTTCTTATATTAGAATTGTTCTCTTGCCCATGATAGTCAATATAAAATGTGTTCACAGTTAACATGACATTGCCACTTCTTTTGTTGAATTGTCAACAATGACAACTTGATTTGTTGATGTGGCAATACCCTTCAGTTGTGGACACAATAAGCTCATATCCATCGTAGGTAGGAGATCATCCATATTCCTTCTATGGTCTCCCTTATATATATAGCTTTCAATAGGTAAACATGTGCATATGTTTGATAAAACTTTTAACAATAATGCTGTTTGTACAAAATTCATTGACAAAGTTGGGTGACAAAGTGACGTGTAAGGTGGAGATCAAATGGTAATAGAAGGCTATGATTATAAAATGATGCAAAATGGGCGCCAAAATGGAGTATAGTGCTGGGAAAAAATTGAGAAACCTGGCCAAAAATTCAGAATCTCTCCAACCCACAAACCATTCTCTCTCCCCATTTCCCCCAAATCGATTCCTTATCCAAACCCAATAGCTCACAATTTGAAATTACACAAAATTATAACCGATTTTGGCAGATTAGGCGGCATATTCTTCATCTTCTCCAAGCAAGGG